CGTCACTCGTAGATACAATCCTTGCTAAACATCCCGAAAGGGGAAGCGGATGAAGATAGAAAAGATTCGAATTGGACACGTCAAATTTTGTCCACTCCTACAATTCTCCCTTAGAAACTGTGTTCATTACAATAGTCACCTTGCAGAAAACCTGAAACTGCCTCTTCCGATCAACCAAAAACCGATCGCATATGACAATGTATCGCTGGGCAGAGCAATTTCGAACGCAAATTTCATTTACCAATCTTGTTATCTTCTGTAAGTTGTTATCTTGTTAGCTATTGCCTTATGAATCGTTCTTAATTAAATGGACACATAGTATTGTCAAGCATGCCCACGTGAGTAAATGCGCACGTGTGATCATGCCATCTACAGGTTCGCATCGAAACATCGTTAAGATACAAGACACGAACATTTTATTGTGATCACTTACAGTAGAAGTGACCAGAGCACAGGTAGACAATAAATCAGAAGTGAAGTGAATCTAACTATGATGTAGTTGAAGTATATCTAAAACAATTTTCTAAACATGGATGGATAAACATGGATTTTTCTCGTCTCTGTTTATGTTTAACATATGCCAAGTATTTTGAAATGGAGTGGCCGAAATATTGAATGCGTTCACTAACTTCAGTGTGCTGAGCCAGCACTTGATCAGAAAGGCTGGTGTAATGTGGTTAGAAGATTATCTCTATCAAGGTTTTTTTTTGTGAAACTTTTTTATTAACATGATGTGTTAATTTCATTTCAGAAAATTACTTACGGGAGAGAAGAAAATACTCTTTGGAGCTGCTTTCAATCGAGTCAATAATGGAGCAAACTGGAATATTTAAAAGGTTAGTAATCTAAACATACTCACCATTTTTTCTTGCCTCACCATACTCTTGTTCATTAAATTTCCAACATTTGACATTTTGAGAAGCAAAGATGTTTGAAAATATCCAGAACATTAATGCACGAAGATAGACTTAGAAACTTTTGCTTCTAGCTTAAAAATATAACTGATGTTTTGGAAAATCATAATAATTGCAGTTTGGGAATTTGCCAATGGATAAGTGGTACTAAGTTAGTATGAAGATAAATAAATAAATATGTTATCACATTGTGAAATATTAAATTAGTTGATGTCAATATGTAGCTTACATTAGAGTAGTGTAAATTTATGTTCAAATTCCACTTCATCCATTTTCTTCATTACTTAAATACTTCTTTAACATGATGTTTTTATTTTATTTCAGAGGGGGAGAAAATTCTGAAAACTTGCTCAACACGGTTCGCACGTACACTTTTGTAGCTAACTTAATCTTGCATCAAGATAACTGATGTGAACGTTGCAAACGAGATTGTTAGTAGCATTGTCAAATTTGATGGAGATAATGAAGAGGAAACTAGTAACTCTGCAGAATTGATACTGGTGGAGCCCTCGAGTACCTCCAAGCGCAAACGATCGAAGCAAAACTTTCCTTGGGTGTATGTTCAAGAGTGGCAATCTGGAGATCCCTCAAAGGAGAAGTCGAAACGCAGTACATTGTGCAAAAGATGGTATTCTCACAAAACCAATGCGTCAGGTTGGAAATCCCATTTGCAATCGGCACATGGGTTGAAAGAAAACAAAGTATCATGCTCTCAACCGTTGTCCAAGTACTTGATCCAGTCCACAATTGGGAAGACTGCTTTTTCGATACAAACGCTCCGTAAGTATGAAAATGCAGTTGTAGATTACATCATTGGCGGTGATATATCTTTACGTGCTGCCAGTAGTGATTGATTCAAGAAAATGGTCTTCACACTCACAAACGGGTATGAGCCTACGTCAACACGAACAATTCTGAGGCGAATTACGGAGCTTTACCGTATCTTATTGCCCATGCTAGGAATGTTTTTCAGCAAGTTAGATGTTGCATTTTCTCTAACAATGGACGACTGGTCAAATTGAAACCTGAAGGGCTTCTATGTGGTGACTGCACATTTGGTTGACCTCAAAACACTCTCGCCAAAAAAATTTTTACTTACAATCTTGGATGTAGAATGTGATACCGGCGTTGATCGACGTGTTGGAACTGCTCTTTTTGAACATATGAAAGGCATGGGCACCGGCGTACTTACACGATTGTTGAACGTGATCAGCGATAATGATTCTTACGCTATCGCTACAGTTAGACGTTTGTTTCAACTGATCAATGCATCAGTTGGCTTTGAGCAGATGGCAAGTTTTAATCATGTGCGTTGTGTTGATCATTCGATTCAACTTGCTGTTATCAAAGTACTTAGTTTCACAAAACATTCAATGGAGGCGTTGCGTGATGCGCTTGTTAAGATTCGTCGCATCAAGATGATGCGGCAACAATATCGCTTGGAGGCTGCGGCTGCAGGGTTTAGCAGCAAGGAGCAGACACATCAAGATTCTCCAACTCGGTGGAATTCCACACATCAGATGGGTGTTGATGCTTTTGAGAAACGGGCTATCATTGACAGTATCATGGAGCAATTTGCAATTGACATCGGTCGTCCTCCTCTTTGTGATGATCAATGACAAATGATCAACAATGTGGTTACTTTTTTGCGTGCGCCACGCCAGGTCATGCAAAACCTTGCCGCAGAAAATAGACCTACGCTTGACTTGTTGCCGCTTTCCATTGCTCATCTTGTGAAGCATTGCCAAACGAGTGAGTTACAACTATTAGCGATCAATCCTAGAATTACGGTTACCGGAATGCGGGAAAAGATTGAAGAATATGAAAAATTACTAGTGCTAGAACCCGCTATAGTTGCAGCCTACCTTAATCCACAAATAGCAAAGCCATCTGATCCTGTGCAGCTTAAAAAGTTAACAGATATCATTCGATCGTCACTATTCTCTTCAACATCGCTAATCGGCCGAATTGCAATTACACGCTTCAACTGTTGAGTCTGAAGAGCCGACCAATTTGCTTTCTCAGGCCATGTTCGAGCTAGAGAGCGATAGCAGCATGCTTGATGAGGTAGATCAATTCTTATCCATTGGCGTCGTCCAATGTAAGGGTTTTATCGACATCTTGTCTTGGTGGTCAGCCCGCATGGAAATCTTGCTTGCACACTATAAGATGGCCATGGATTATCTTGGGACGCCGGCGACGTCAACACCATCTGAGCGCGTCAACAGTGTTGCTGGTCGCGAGTTTACCAGCTCTCGACAGTCCCTATCGTCATAAGTGTTCATCATGACCATGTGCTTACGTTCATGGATGGATGCAAAGAGACTCAAAGTGCCGGCAAACCGAGCAATAGCAGCAACAATTAAATCCACTGATAAAGAAAACCCCACCGATGAGATTGAAGATGTCATCAATCAATTGGAGATCGAACAAGACGATTGGTACGAGGAAGTTTTTGATGACGGTGTAGTGCAGATGCTCAATAGCCAATTTGAAAAAATGTTATTTGAATCCAACTTGAATTGAAAGTGTTTGGAATAAATATTTTACTCTTTATTTGTGTAGTTATCAAGTTAACTTGTAAATAAAAGTAAAATATTCCTTTTATTCTCAATGAGTAACTATATGGTTAACGGAAAGAGTGAGTGTACTGTGGATTTTTAATTTTATATAGGGTAATTACCAGATCATGGGATGAAATGAAAGTAATGTTTTTTTTTGGATAATTACCCAATTAAATGGTAAAGTGTATAATTTACCGAGTAATCACTTGGGTGAAGAGTAAAGTAATTAGGGGTAAAGTGCATTTTATACCGAGTAATTATCCAATTAAATGGTAAATTAAGGGTAAAGTGTATTTTTATTTTGATTGGGTAATTACCCGGTTAAAGGGTAATTACCTGGTTAAATGGTAATTACCCGGGTTAATGGTAAATTAAGGGTAAAATGTATTTTTTATTTGAATGGGTAATTACCCGGTTAAATGGTAAACTAAGTGTAAAATGTAGTTTTTATTTTGACAGTGTAATTACCATGTAAACTGAGGGTAAAGTGTATTTTTTATTTTGACCGGGTAATTACCCGGTTAAAGGGTAAAGTAGAGGTAAAGGTATATCGCGAACAACTAGGTAAGGGTAAAGGTAGAGTACCCTAAATTACCCGTTTAACTTTTACCTTGCCGAGCCTACCTGCAGCCCTAAGGTTATGCATGAGCACCGTCATTTCCTGAGGGTTTTGATTCGGTCTCACCTTGACTTCTCCAGCTGCCCTTGACTTCTCCAGCTGCCCTCGACACGCCGATGACGATCATCACCGGCTACCGCTTGGGCTAGATTACATTGCAATTTTACAAAAAGAATCTTGCGCACTGACACCACCATCACCCGGAAAAAAATCCGGACGATGTGTGATTTTGAAGCCCAGGCTCTATTACCAAGAGAACACAAGCAAAAACGCAGACCCCAAAATACCGATCCGAGCATACACATAAACGCTGACACACTGCCACTGCCGGCTACGTGACGAACAACTCCGGTAACGCTACGCCGGAACGACATAAGAGTTTTATTGATAAAAGCTCTAAAGTGTTCAAAGAGAGCTTTGAGTAGCTCTCCTCCATCCGGACAGCAATTCCCTCAACCCTAACTAGGGTTATTCTACCTAAGTTAATACATACCTTACTTTATATTAACCACAAAACTATATATTGTTGCTATTAAATGATTTTGTTTTCATTCAGGAATATGCTTCATAATAATCGTCGTTTTCGTTCTTCTTATCAGAAGAACAATGAACATCCTTCACACCAGTCTCCTATTTACATTAAGAAATATGTAATTATCGATAGTATAATAATTTTAACTATTTCAAGTTTTTCAATAAACCCATGGAAAATGTCTATCATCTCATTTTGAACAATGGTGTTAACTACAGCATGCACTCCATCTTTCTAAACAGATCATGATAAGGGTAAAAAGTGGGGTTGACATTTAAACAAACTTTGTGAAGCAAACTTAAACCTTGCGGAAGGTCATGCCGACTTAATCCATATGAATAGGCCTTTGCATAACAACACATGAAAAGGCGCTGGTTGCCGAGTATGTTCAGCAATCTCGTTTTAGTACTGAGAGGAATGATACTACGCAGGTCACAACCATCTGGTGTGTACGGCGGAGATTCGAAAACTGCTTCTGCAAGACGGAGATACATGGGAGGAGCTGTTGAAATCCTCGCACAAATAAGTACACGGGAGATTGTTGCCCGATCACTGTTCGGCTGCGATATTTTTCACTCAGACATGCACTGTGACCTTAAAGATACGTCCAGTCGGTTGCGGTGTCTAACTGAACTTGAAGTTCACATATTGAGGATTCTTCTCTGTAGTCCTGCTTGTTAGTTGCCGATGGTCTCTGGAGGCTGGAATGGAAAGCGCAAGGCCTGGGAATCACAGCTTGCCGGTGTCCACTTCCAAGTCGTCAAGAATCCAACAATTGTGAAGTTCGTCTCAGTCTTCAGTTCGTTTTAGCCTGAGCGATTTTTTAAGCATGCCTCGAGTGATGCAATTTCCTATGAGTAGTAGATCAAATACGCCGAACAGCGGAAGTAGTGATGTTTCAGAGTCCGAAGAGGAAGGAACAAGCGACTACAAGCGCGGCGGGTACCACGTCGTTCGTATCGGAGATATCTTCAAAGCAGGTCGCTACATTGTGCACCGGAAGCTTGGGTGGGGGCACTTCTCTACCGTTTGGCTGGCTTGGGACAGCTTTGGCAAGGTGAAAGTATTATCGTGGTTTTAACGTTTTTCAGCCCTCTGAAATCGTTCCTCTGAGACGGGCGGAAAATATCATTTCATTGTAGTTATCCCCGCGCTGTGCGTTGAGATTAGCAGGACCATTTACACGACACGGACGCTTTAGGGTTTTCTCCTTCAAATTTTGTGAAGAAAAATGAAAGAATCATTCCAATTTGTTGTTGTTTCAAGTCAGCTTTTGGGTATCAATTTGATATTTGAAAATAACAACATTCTCGTATGAAATTAGCTTTACGTGACTAAGCTGCTCACACTGGAAATTTGTTTGATGTGAAGCCTTTTGTAATAGTCTCACGATGGTTTTCTCCGAATGCCTGTTGCAGAAGTATGTGGCATTGAAGGTTCAGAAGAGTGCCCAACACTACACGGAGGCTGCAGTGGATGAAATAACTATACTGAAACAAATCGCAGATGGTGACCCTGAGAACTGTAAAGGAGTTGTTAGACTTCTTGATCATTTTAAGCACTGCGGACCGAATGGTCAGCATGTATGCATGGTATTTGAGCTGTTGGGAGACAATCTTTTAACTTTGATCAAGCTATACAATTATCAAGGTCTTCCATTGGACATGGTTCGCCAACTAGCCGTTCACATCTTAGGAGGTCTGGACTTCCTTCACAGACACCTCTCCATAATCCATACTGATTTGAAACCCGAGAATGTTCTGCTGTTGTCACCTCTAGATCCCATTAAAGTCCCTCAATTATCGGAGAAGTTGGAGTACTCAGCCAGTTTTACAGAGAGAAGAGTGTCCTGTGCTCCCCCTGGAACGGAAGAACTTTGCAAATCCTCCATCACGGGGCTTTCGAGAAACCAGAAGAAGAAGTTGAAACGAAGAGCAAAGAAAGCTGCTTGCAGTGAGAAGTTAGTCCTTGCAGGAGGAAGGGCAGCCGTTGATGATGAAAATGGTGGATGTTTAGGCGATCGTCGCCCCGTGGGTAGCCCAGTTCTGAAAGCCACCGCACGTAGTGATAATCTATGCGCTGGATCTTCAAAACACGATGATCTTTTGACTGATATTTCGCGCCCTCTCGAACTGGCTCAAGGGACGAAAGAAAACGCCAGTTTTCTACTCCGAAGCGAGAGAAAACGGTCGGACTTTGCCGACCAAGGTGCAAGAAAGTCTACTGACGTTTCTTTAAAGACTGCCACATTGCAGCAGCCTGGAGATTTGCGGCAGCTGGATTTGAGATGTAAAATCGTGGACTTGGGCAACGCATGCTGGAGTTACAAACAGTTCACTAGTGATATTCAAACCCGGCAATATCGTTGTCCAGAAGTCCTATTGGGCTCCAAGTATACGGAATCAGCTGACATGTGGTCATTTGCATGCATAGTTTTTGAACTTGCAACAGGTGATGTATTATTCGATCCACGCAGCGGCGATGACTTCGACCGGGACGAGGTACTATAGTTTCTGAAGTGTTTCGGAAGGTGTTCAAATATTGCCACTAGAAGCTATGACAGATTGTTCCCGATAGCTTCAAAAATTTTACTTCTCTTTCGTCTCAGCCTTTGGACTCCAAACTGAAGTAAGATTTTACCGAATTTCAGATATGATGCGAAAGTTTCCCATCGATATTCTCTACTTTGACGTTTTGTATGCTGGATAGACTTTTAGTTGTACTGCGGGTATAAAAGTAGATATTTATTTCATCATAGAATATCCAGAAACAAAGCATGCTTAGATTTGTCAGTGATGCAGATACTTTGTCATACTTCTAGACCTTTCGAATCACTTTATGCAGATAACGGTGCCTCGAGAAGTCTAAAGCTGTTTATTCTTTGTCGTGCAGGATCATCTCGCTCTCATGATGGAGTTGTTAGGTCGTATGCCTCGCAAGGTACATGTTATCCTACACTTTGCTAGTTAAGTTTAGGAACAGCTTGGTCCGGGTTTGTTTGCTGTAACTCGTGACGAGGAGTACTGGGACTTCTACCCAGCTACTTCGACTCTGATAATCACTGTTGAGGTCACGGTGTTTTTGTATAGCATCTTATCCTTGTTATGTTTAAGCTGATACGGTAATCATCTCTGGACAACTGGAATGGTGATTCATGCAATAAGAATGTACTGTTTCCGTGGTTGTCACAGGCGGCAGGAGCTTATTTCTTACGCCTTGGGTTTCCCAACTATGTTTGCTTTGTCCTCACTCCCTTTGTTACCTTCAGCTGTGCCAGAGATGCTAACCTCTTGCATTGCAGATACTTCATCACCACAAATCTAGTAGATTCTACTCTAAATCGTCTGCTGCATTCCATCTTTGGCGTTAACCACTTCCATTTATTCTGAAGTCAAATTTATGGCAATCTTTCTCACTTGTGTACTTTCATGCGATTGATATTCCTGATTCCTATCTTGGGTTCAAACCCAACCTTGTCCCGAAGACAAAAGTATGTTTCTCTCAAACCCTTGTTGCTGCTTCACTTTCTTCACGTTTTTCTTACGATGCTTTTCTACTTTCTGCCTTGTTTCCCTTGTTTCTGAAAATTTCTTGTGGTTTCTGAGGTACAGAACACCACGTGGATCTGTCCCTGTTCACTGGAGGTACAACTCACATTCATGCATGGAAAGTGTTGTCCTCTCTGCGCTTGCAGGGAGATACTTCAGAAGTTGCACGGTTTAGGCTTGAGAGGTTTCCCGCAACCTCTTACGCGGATTTTGTGGTTTATTGCTACTGTCTGCTTGTTGAGCCAGTATTTTACATACTGGTTCGACGGTTTCTGTTTCTGTTTCTGTTTCTTCTTTATATTTGCTGACATCATTGTAAGACATGGCTGTGAGCAATGTTGGTTCTATCTCTTACGGAGGAGTCTTCCTCATAATTGGTATTATGAAGAAATTGCTCTACTAACACATCTCTAGTGCTGAGTGACTGGAGGAATATGCCATTCTCCTTGCTATCAAAGTCTATACTGAAGTCTCCTGGTTAACTCAACGTACGCTCATTAGTATCCAATAATTTCTGCACATCTGTTGCGGTCGATCGCACTCTCATTCCAGGATCCCCTTGACTCAGAACATTACCCCAAAGGACATTCAACTGTCAGCTTTGGCACCCGTCTACACTTCAGAGATCAGAGATTATCTGCCGTCATCACAATAAGAATGACAGGAAACTAGTGAACATGCTGACTGTTTGCGGGGGAAATTGAACTCTAGTCCTCAAGTGGTGTTATTTAAATATTCTGCTGCACATCAAATTCAACGGCTGAGCTAGTGGAATAGAATTTCAGAATAGATGAAAGCCCAAGCTGCCCATCACTGTTTATTCGGGCCATGAAAAAATAATGCTGAACGTTGACCCCACTAAGCTAATCCCCTTTCTATGAACAAGCCCCTCCATAGGATTACTTCCCTGGCAATCTCTACCTGCTCAGTATTTTCTTTTTGACTACCATGCTGGTGCTAAGCAACGGCCTTCCATGGCAAGGGTCCATGTTTTTTTAGGACGGTGGCCATCAGTATCTTGAAGGTTACCGTCCACGTATAGGTTAAAGTTTACGATCTCACTCTGCTGGCTTATGGAGAAAATCAAGTTTATCTCACGGCTGCTTGTTATTTATTCGGTCGGTAACTGCAGGTTGCTCTAGGGGGAAGATACTCACGGGATTATTTTAACCGGCATGGTGAACTGAGACACATTCGGAAGTTGCGATACTGGCCATTAGACGGTGTTCTCGTGGAAAAGTATGACTTTACAAAGCATGATGCAGAGGAACTGGCAATGTTTCTCCGGCCTCTGTTGGACTTCATTCCTGAAAAACGGCCTACAGCACAACAGTGTCTTCTGCATTCATGGCTTCGTGCAGCCCCTACGTATGCGGAAGCGCGTGTTGTTAGTGACGTTGGATCCGGTGACACTACAGGTTCCCAGGAGGCAGTGGACAGGGCAGAGGTAGCCATGAGCAACATTGCCATTTTGAGTTCCCAAGATGAGGATAACGCCGATACTCCGACTGCGTGCTCCGAAGTCAAGTTCTGCGTTGAAGCAGGCGATTAGAGGGTAGCAGTTTCCGTGTTTGCAAGTTTTATTATATTGAGGTCCCCTTGGAAGCAGTAGTGCTGTAGTTGTTGGCGTAGGATTATGGAATGAGTGTTTTCACGTTCTACTAATTTTTGTGTCGAAGGGTGACCTTTATGTGGTAGGAAGGCTCGTTTTAGCAACATGGATGTTTTTCGCATGCGGGCACTCATTTCTACCAAGCGATACAGCCGGGGACGTGTGTCATGAAACTCTGTCAGATGTGGCACAACAAGAATCTGAAGTTGTATATTTCTACCGAATGGTTTGAGAATGCGTAGGAAGTTCTTAACTGAACGTTACAAGGTCAGTGTACGTTGGGGCGGTGGGAGTATGTATGCCGTCTATTTCGTGATTATGTTCGTGCTGATAATGATATGATTGGACACCAAACAAACTTCGAAATTAGAATTTTTATTTTTCTTTCGATGAGTAACTCGGTTAACACAAATATATATTTAATCAAAGATGGACTATTGTTCATCAATGGGTCAGAAGTTCAATTATGTTGTGCAAAATGTCTACTTCAGTAGTTTTAGGACGTCTACTCGCAGTGAACAGTTTTGAGGGAAAAACAAGATTCACACCAACATTCTAAAGCCGAATTTCATCCGTTTGCTACATCCATGAACAAATTTTTGAATTCTTCCCATCCTTGTGTACTATTTTACACTGAACTTTAAATTGATCATGCAACTTATCATACTGACTAATATTGCACAATATCTAATCGTAGCATTGCTTTGATTGTTGAAACGGGATATTTTATTTTCCTAACGAATATTCTTATTATAAGTATGTATTTGAATTCTGTCTCTTTACTTCATGTAGCAAGTTCTCATCTTATCATGCAGATATGAAAAAATCTTAATATGCAGATGTATAGAATTATTCATGAATTATGAGTGTTTCATAACAAATGTACATGGTAAACTTACACAAATTTAATGATATCCATGTGAAGAACATTAGATCTTATCCCTTGATACCCTACAACATTGCACATCATTTATATACTCACGAAAACAATGATACTTGAACGTAACATTGACTTTGAACCTATTCTTCATAGATGCAAGAAGATGAACAAGCAATTATCTCAAACAAATGAAATTAATACAAATGGCATAAAAAATTTCTAACAAGATTTATTATATAAATTATAATATCGACAATTTCAATTCAAAATTTATATGATTAATCATATTAAATCAACATGCTATGCATCTTCTTCAGTACTAACATTTTATTGCAAAATATGAAGTATGTGGAGATTACATATGATATTAGAACAGTTCATAATATGGAGTTTTCATCTTAATTTACCTCACTTCATATTTATAACTATTTTCAAAATATTCAAATGTTTACTTTCCGTTTTTATCTCATTGAGTTTGAAAAAAAAAAGAGAGTTAGTTGTGAAAGCTAGTGTAGCTTCAAGGTATTAGAAAAATTGTATAAAGCTTATCTCATTCATCTTTCATATGATCTTCTTTTGAAATACTTTACTTATAATATTTGGTAGCACATATCTATGTGACTTTAAAGTCTAATCTTAATATGCCTTTTATTACTCATCGTATAACTTAATTGTCATCTAATCTCTTCACCTATCCATTCCACATGTGCACAATTTGATATTACAACTGTATTTGTTCTCCCCTTTTTTATTTTTTGTTCTCAATACATCTCAATACAAACATTATTTACAATGTACTAACTACACGTTGCTCTTAAATCCAACATTTTCACTCTACAAATGGAAAACTTTTTGCAGTCCCATAGCTTTTGCCAAATCTCCCTTGCAAATGTCTTTGCCAACAGATCTGCCATCATATATTTTGTAGGGCAACATCCAAATCTTATCTCCTCATTATTCTAACTTCTCGCGAATGGAGTGATATTGAATATCAATACTCTTTGTGCAAAAATTATGTGTAAGGTTTCTTGCTAGTGCAATGCATACTTGATCATCACATATGACAATTGTTGCATCTATTTAAACATATCACTATAAAAAAGAGATATTTGCTTGATGGGACCCCATTAAGAACATATTGCTTGATGGGACCCATCAAGTTTAGTTTTATCCGATGGGACCCCAACGACGGCACACGCCAGACTGTTCTAGTATGAACAGACGGTGAGTTAGTGAGTCGCCTATGCTACTAGACCCTTAAGTTTGCGCAGGACGTCAGCTTCTTGCCGGCCACACTTTGTAATAACAGACAAATACCAAAATGGAGCATAATGGTATAGATCCGATCCCACGAGGACAGAAACAAACACAAAAGTCACAATTTGTCACAAGATAGCATTCTATTACGAAGTTTTAATTCTTAGGCCAATGCTACTCCCAGAAGACACTACACAGCTAGAGCCGAAGACTCAGAAGGTAGTGCAAAATCGTACTCACAACCTGAAACTTTTCCAAACACAACCTGCAAGAATCGCAAGCGATCTCACACTTATATTTCAGGGGGAAAACTTCCCAGCTGTGCATACATCTCAACACACTAAACCGAATACACAGACTCGAACTTGCTTAAATCCCGCGGTAACCCCAGGCTACCCAAGACATCCAGGCCGAATATTCACAACTCCGATTGCGGTAATTTCGACAAACAGGAGCGCGCCGTGCTCAATGTCTGGATCACACATCAATACAGGGACACACATCGAAGACAGAATGAAAGTTGAGACAAGTCAATTGACAGAAAAGCCCCCCCAAGGAAAGAGCCTTGGGCCTCTTTATTCACAATGGCAACTCTGAGATATCAACCGCTTGAGGCAAATCGGCCTCAAGGGCTGTGACGTCCGATGTAACGGTTACAGCATCGTCTGAACTACTCTTTACTCCTAATCTACGCAACACGTTTACAATCTCAACTTCTACATTCTGGCGCGCCTCATTCAATTCATCTGAAAATAAATTAACTAACTCTACAATCTGTTTGTGTCATGCGGATCCGCTGGACTTCGCGCTCATCAGCCGTCGTTCGAGCAAATCCAGTTTCAACCACTTCACCGAATCCAATCCTCACATCGCGAACCCGTTCAGGCACTTCTCTAACCGCAACCTCAGCACGTCGGTTGAATCCTTCCGCAGCTGACGGTAGGCATCATCTGCCTTTTGCATTCTCCTCTACGACTCTTCCGATCTCATCTCCGACTTCCCTAACTGCTCGTAACCGTCGACAGTCAGATTCAACCTTTAATCTACATTCGACCTCCGAAGACTTGGCCGACTCATACTTTGCCAATTTCTTGGCCCAATCCTTCAACTCGTCTTCATGTTTCTGATTTCCCGCCGACAGACTTGCCGATAGCTCCTCTGCACGTCGGAATTCAGTTTCACACTTCGACTCAATCTCTGAAATTTGCCTACGAAGATCTTCCTCCGCCGTCTTCGTACCTGCGAGCTTGCCCCGAAGTTCTTCGGCGATGCGAGCTTCTTCGGCTCTTCGGACCTCCGATGCAGCAAGGTCTTCCATATGCTTCTTTTCTCGTTTCTCTGCCGTTGCGATCAATCGCTCCGTCCTTTTGACTGCTGCATCGTAAGCTTCCCTGGATTTCTCCACCCTCGACATCAAATCCACTGTTAACTTCTGGGCATTCTCATTAGAGGTACGAAGTCCTCCGCAGGTCTCTTCCAATTCTGCCCAGCATCCCGATTCCTTCTCTAGATCTAGTTGCAGTACTTCGCACTCGATTTCCTTCTCGCGAAGCTGGGCTTCTCGCTCCCGCAATGTCGCCTTCACTGCAGCGCACTTGGCTGACAAGGTTGCAGCTCGCTCCCGTGCCACTGAAGTCGCGGAATCCCACTCCCTTTTTACTGCAACTGCTCTCTTGAGCTTCGTTCTGTTCTTGATCATCTGAACATAGAATCCCGGCTCCTGTGATATAGCATACTTCTTCCTCTTCCCGTCCAAGTACTTCAACAATGGTACCACACTATCCTGCAAGAACTCAGGAAATGTAACCTCCAATGTCTTCCCTTCTTCGCCCGAAGTCTTCTGTCCTTCTTCGAGTCTCGCCTCTTCCACAGAAGACGTCGGCAGTGTAGTGCCCTCGGCTTCCACCACCGTTCCTCCTACTCTTGCGACAACCTGTTCCAGAATTTCCTCGCTCAAAGTAAACTCCTTCTCTAGGTCCTTGTTCATCTTTATCTTGGGTGTCCCTTTGCCTTGCGCAGACCGTGTCTGCTCCGAAGACAAAGAAATCGGACTTACCAATTCCGTTCCCATCGTTCAAAGATTCTACCGGTGTATCTTCAATTGACGCCTCCGAAGGTATTTCTAACTCCACAGATCGCATTACCTCGTTATTTGCGACTTCGGATGTGTTCACAATTGGTGCCACCGTCTTCTCCACACTGCTATCTGACACCTCAATTGTCACCATCCTCCGTTTCGCCCTCTTCTTTGGTCTTGCGCGAGCTCTGTGCTGTCTGGCTTCACTTACTTCCATATCCTCCCTTCTTACCGTGTGGGCCAATTCCTCCTTATCATCGCGTACGACCTTCCTCTTCTTTGCCACTCGCCTCTCTGGCTGCTCCTGCCTTGGAACCACGTCCACCTGCACTGGTCCTCGAGCAGTAGTCTGTGCTGGAATTGCAGGAGATGGGTTTTCGTCTTCGGTCCCTTCACTGGACTCCACTGTGAAGTTCTCCCGCTCCTTTGGAAATCGCTTTTCCTCCTCCCTTGTAAGTAATCCCATTCCTCGATAGAAATGTACCAAAAAGGGGGTAAGATGGTTGGTCATCGATCCCGTCCATCGACCAGACGCATTCACCCAGACAAGATCGTAAAAGATCCTTGCCCAATGTACGCGCTGTCCCTTCAAAATGCGCTCAAAGAATCCTACCTGCCAGGCCGTCACATAGGTCGTGAGCGCTGGTCGTAAGATGTGCATAATTCCCAACACGATCGTCCTTCTCTTCGAGTCCTTATAATCGACCGTCTTCCATCCATTTCTTCCTTGTCTTCCTGTCTCGAAGAGAGGCCCGTAAGAGAATTTCTCGACGCGCGTTAGTTTTACGCTATTCTTGTCAAACAGAAGGTCTCCGTCGCTTCCCGCACACGGTCCCATTACTTTCGTCCAATGCTCGACGGTCCAAAGCATGGGATTACCGCGGAGCTCCCCGCCTTCGGTCGCGCTTTTGTCCATAATCTCCTTCCAGATACTCGCTGAGACGTAATTCCAATTCCACAAAAGGAATTCTAACCGCAGCTCCCTCAACTCGTGTCTGAAGGGTCTCAATTGCTCATACGCAATCTTCAAGGGACCCAATTTCCTCACCTTCTCACTCTTCTTGGGCGCCATGTGTTCAATTTGCACTTCGCAGATCGCGGGTTGGCTCGGTTGCAATTCCTCTCACTCTCGATCGTTCTTGCTCGATATCGCAATGTCGGCGCGCAGTCTCCTCTTTCCGCCTTTACCCTTGAAGCCCTAACATTGCTGTCTCCTGCGCCTCGTAGAATTCCCGACGCGTGCGAACCTCGTCCGGCCCGTTGCGTGATTTGAAATTGATTCCGATGTCTTCGCCGAAGACGCAACTCTTCGTGCATCGTAAAAAGGCTGCGCCAAAGACGCGAAGATCCGAAGATCTTTGGACGTAGACAAATCCTTACTAATCCTGACATAACTCCTATAAATCTACTCTTTCCAGCTTATATAACTATCTTCTACACACATATGTTTATGTTTTTGTTAATTTTTAAAGAAAAATGAAAAAGTAGGCCCCACACACTTCCTGCCATGACGTGCAGCAGCTTGTGAGTAAGCCTCGGTGCTGCAACTGGTGCTGCGGCTTTGTCTGAGACCTGATTCCTGACATTGCTTCGCCCCTCGTTTTGGAGTTGCTGCTTGAGACACACGAGCACTTGCACTCCAACAATTTTGATCATCTCTTCCGTGGGGTAGATGTGAACACTCCAACCATCCTCGATGGTGTAAATGTCTTCCTCCAGAACGTCCAAACGAGGAGCTCGCTCTTCTCATGGCTCCTTGCTACTCCTCCTGCCCTTGTCCTTCTCCCTTCCCATACCCCACGGAAGGAGCGGCCGCAGCTCTGACTCCGCAGCTGCGTAGCTCTGATCGACGGGGAAGCTGCAAATTCGTAGCATTCCTCAAATGCTGCGCTTGCTGAGAAATGGAGCCCAAGGCTCCATTCGCCAAGTCCGTGCTCTAAAACAATGAGCATCCCGTCGTCACCATTCTTTGGCAATTTGTGTCACCAAGTCCGTCGGAATTCCTCCCCTGAGTGCTTTCCGAGAACATATTTTTAAAAGAACAAATACAAGAACAGGTGCAAGAACATATTCATATTAGAACATTTACTAGAGCTCATCGACGGCACACCGTTCGTGGGGTCCCATCGGGTAAAACAAAACTTGATGGGTCCCATCAAGCAAATATGTTCTTGATAGGGTCTCATCAAGCAAATATCTCCTATAAAAAATTGCAAAGTCAAATGATTTCATTGATAATTTGGCTGGTGATCATGTATTACCTCAATGTTGTGAACAAGACAATTATTTGTTAAGCACAAACTCAAACAAAATCATACACTAATAACATATCACCAAAAGAAAATGCACACATGCAATGTCCACATATAATCTAAAGCTTAACTCTTAGGAAAATCCTAAAAGTAGTACGGAGAGCTTTGATGAACTCTCTTATATAATGATAAACCAATTTACTTGCCCATTAAAAGTAAACTAATCAGAAATAAATGGAAATCTAACTTTATTTTGCCCAAAAAAATCTATCTTAATTCATGTCTTGCGTCCTATAACATCCATATCCGATACACTTCTCGTACTTTAAGACCTATAGTTGTATGTGTGCAATAATGGACAATTTCTCCAAACAAGTCATCATGATTAGCTTGATCATGATTAAATGTAACTATCAAATCTATACTTGGCAAAATAATTTGAATATTTTTTGAAAGTTATTGGTGACAGTTGTTAGAACTAGATAGATGCACACCATGAAACTAAGTAAAAAAGTTGGGACATTTACGAACACACTACAAAAAGACGCATTGCATTAAATTCATTGCCACGGCCAATAGTTGACAACATTGCAAATTCTAAACAAAAAAAAAAACCATGCGATGGTGAGTTAACACTAATAATCTCCTCCTGAACACATGTCGAGAGACAACAAGCTCCTTAATCTATATCATTACTCCGCAAATAGTCCAAGAAGAAAAATCAACAAAAGACAACTCTTTAAACTAGAGCTAAATAGAACTAAATTGCAGCCAAAACAAGATGGAGAAAAAAATATAGAGATAACTAAAAATGCTTGTAAACTTTCTTTTTGCTCCTCATGCAAAATCTACATAGTTGCACAATATATACTAAAACTCTCCAAAGGAGTAAGTTTGGCCAATGTATCAACTAGATTGATTTTATTGTCAATCTTAATTAGCTCAAATAATTTTCGTTTGTTTCTGCAGCTTACTCTATTCTAGCTCAAACGAAATGGAAACGCGCCAATATCTACTGGATATGGTGGTTCGAATCTGGAAGCTATCATAAAATCCCTAGGCAAACCCGCAAAGCCAAGCATTGGAAAACAAAGCATTCGGATCCTGCGGCAGAAAACATAGTGTTGTGTCATATGCGTGCAACCATTCCATCAACCTGTAAAGTGTTTCGTGTTTGGAAGTACGCATAAAGGCATTGATTTCATGAATAACTCGAGCTATACCATCTAACGCATTGATAAAGAGCACGAAAGCCCCCTTTTTCGTTTTAGTCTGAATCGAGCCTGATCGAGCCGGCGCCTAGAAGCGCACGCAGCGAATCGGCCCGGACATTGTCAGACAGGGCCCCGTCTTGAAAACTGATTTCAATGGAAGGGTATCGTCTCTGACCATCCCAGCTAACCCATTTTTAAATTGATCCTCATCATTCCTTGTTTCAATAGGAGATGCGCTGCGTGTAGTCTCTGAGGATCCTTCACCTGTTTGTAAAGTCAAAATATTTGTTTCATTCATTTACATTTTTTTTTTTGAAGTTTCCTGCTGATTGTGCATTGCCTATAGAACTGAAGATCTAATTCAGATCTATATATAAGCTTTTCACAGGTTCGGGCGTAAAAAAAGAGATTTTTTCGCGCACTTATGAACCGAGTACTTAATGGCATTTAGCCTTTCCAGCAAATAGCGGCATTATTCAATTTGGGATTGCTCTCAAATGCGGCCATCCTGTGGTTATTTTTTGACCGAAGAACCAAAAAAGATGCTGGTATAAAATGGGATCCCCGCCACCAGCAGGATCAAAAAAGGTTGTATTAAAGTTTCTATCAGTTAATAACATGGTAATTGCCCTTTTTTGTCTGTTTTTTTTTTTTTCAGTTTTTTTTCCCTTTTTTGTCTGACAGTCCTGGGGCCTTGTCGGACAGTATTTTGGTTTTATGGTGTCCGACAAGACAAAGCCCGGGGCTCTGTCTGACAAAAAAAGTGCTTACACCGGAAACTAATATTTTTTTTTCATGCCCGGCGTGGTTTTGGACTATATCTTCATCTCTTTCTATTCATACCTGCTTTGATGCGCACAATTTAAGCAAACTCCGCATTGGTCAGATGTGGTTTGTGTAAGATCATGTCATAGATGCATCGCCAGTCACGCCAATCTGCGGCATTTGCCCGAGGAAAGGCATCAAAGTAAGCAACCACATGGGCATGCCTGCCATGTTGCATGTGCGACTACGCCAATTTACTCTAGAAGCACTAACCTTGTAAAGTAATTCTTTTATCAAAAACTACATGTTTGTTAAATGATACATGATGTCAAAGTGCTTCACTTTGTTGTCTATCACTTGATTTGTAGCAAGATGTAATGCACTTTGACTATCACAATGAAGATTGACAACCCGTTGTTTCAATCCAATCTTAGTAATAAGCCTCTCCAACCTAATAGCTTCCTTTGCTGCTTCTGCTACAGCTACATACTCGGCTTCCGTTACAGACTGAGCTATGCAATTTTGCAAGGTAGATCTTTAACTAATGATACCATCATGTTAAAGATCTAACATGTGTTTGCAACTAGGCATGTATTTACACATGTTCAATTGTAAATCTTCTTTGTACCAGATCTTGTCAATAATCAACATCAACGTAACCTAACAAGAATTAGACATTTTCTAATAAAACATCAAACAGAAAAACATAGTTTTTAATATTTGTAACGACAGATAAATACCAAAATGGAGCATAATGGTAAAGATCCGATCCCACGAGGGCAGAAACAACACAATGAGTACCAATTGTCACGTTTGTAACTGTCTATTGAAGAGTTTGAATTCTCAGGCTACTGTCACTCCTAGAAATACTGCAGGTGTTCGACTCGGAGGTCACTCGGAGGACACACAATGCAGCGTAAGACACACACACACACACACACACCTGAAACAAGTAATTGCAAAACTCAGAGGTCAATCAGGATCTCAATTTAAGATTCAGGGGGGGGAAAATTCCCAAGTAGTACACTCAGGGAACCTGCAAGCAACGGCCAATTGCAAATTTGCTTAAATCTTGTCACTAGCCAATCGCTATTTCAGGACATTCAAATTGGGACTCCTACTTCGGATGCGGTATCTTCGATAAACTGAAGTACCCGGTGACGCGGTGACCAACACACTCAACTCACAAAACGCGTAGAGAATACAAAGTTCCAAAACTGAGAAAACTAAATTGAGAAAAGACCTCCCAAGGCCAGCGCCTTGGACTACTTTATTCCTAACTACCAAAAACTGTCACCCGCTGCGATGCGAGCACAGAACAGGTCGTACGCCTGCGGAGTCGGCAGTTGCCGCTCCCTCTAACCTCCGCTCTAAACTTAATCTTCTCAAAACACATGCTAATTCTACCTCCAGATTCGCTACCGCGTCCCGCGATCTGGTAAGATACGACTTGAGCTTCTTAAATAACTGGCGATGACTTCGTCCGCTTCGCGCTATCACTTCGGTTGCACGATGCTCAATCTCAAGTAACCAAAGGTCGTTGTGGGATTTGATCTGCCACAACACATATCCAAACAAACATCACTCCACTTTCGCAATTAAGGCATCACGCGTTTCCTCTGATAACTGCCGATTCTTCCCCTCGGCATCCGTCAATTTTGCTTCCACCTCACATAACTGCTCCTCAGCTTGCGACCGTTGCATCCTCAGTTCATCACATTGCGCTTCTAACTTCTCGATCAGCTCTAAGTCCGGGATCCGCGCAGCTTCATACTCGGTCAGCTTCTTCGCCCTCACCGCCAACTCGGTTTGGTACTCCTGCTCCTTCTCTCTCGCGGCAGCAGACAACTCATCCACCTTCAATGACTCGGCGTCGTACGCGGTCCTACAAGCCTCCAGCCTTTTTAGGAGGTCCACGCTTGCGCACTTGGCTCTCTCCACATCCTCGCAAAGACCTTCACCGACTTGCTCCGCCTTTCTTTGCTTCTCAACTTCCTCAATTAGCCTCTTCTAAAGTGCTTGGTACTTCGCTTCCGTCGGCTGACTCCTACGCTCCTTCGCGGCGACCTCAGCTGCCACCGCTACCTTGGTCCGCGTCCGGTTACGCACTATCTCCACATAGGACTCATTGATGCGGCCCTCTGCATACTTCTCCTGCTTCCGGTTGAGGTACTGGAGCAACGGAAATACCTGCACACTCAACAAGTCGGCGGCACCCAGGACCGGCGACTGTGTTTCTTTTGCTGAGGGTTCCTCACCCGTCTCCAGTATGACTGTGTCCGTGGAGTTCCAAGGTGAGACCACCTTCTGCGGACCACTCTCGGCTGCTACGACGTCTTCTACGGCCTTTGCCGCAACTTCCTTCAATGCCACAGGATCCTCCTCAGTTTGTGAGGACATCGTCAATACCTCAACGGCCTATTGCCAAGGAAACTTCATCCGGATACTTTCCACAAGGACCTCATTCCGCCTCAAGGAAACTTCCTCAATCAGGACCGCCTTCCCCTTGTCTTTCTTGGAAGTCCGCGGTGGTTCAACAGGCGTCGACTGTTATTCTATAATGCCAGGCTTCTTCTCCACCAAATTCTCTTTCTCTTTGGCTGCCCTCTCCGCTGGCCCAGCTTCTTGCATATGACGTTCTCTCAACGCAACCCTCCTACTCTCTGTGCTACTATCCTCTTCCAATATCAACCTCTTGATGGCCTTCATCTTTGACCGGGCCCAAAAGTCTGGTGATCGCATCTCAATGAGAGCCGTGCGTCCTCTGCTACGACAGCCTCATCGATTCTTTGTCTCTTCCTCGGCTGTGAGTCTTGCTGGCCTCGAGACCGCTTCCTCCTTTGCTGGGGTGAATTCTGCGGTTCGCCTTAAAGGTCTGAGTTGACCTCGTTAGCCATCACCACTTCTTCTGCTTCCCGCGGTACTTCTCGTGTTGGAAAGGCTTAATCTCTGCGGGGGTCAATAGTCCCATATCCCTATAGAAGTTAATCAAGAACGGGGACAAATAACAGGCGGACCCTCCTTGAATTAGCCCGATGTGTTGCCGGATGGCTATCCAAAAAATTTGCACCCAATGGATACGCTTTCGTATCCATTGGGTGCATTGGGTGCGGTCTCCTCGCAAGACTCTTTCTATGAACCCCACCTGCCAAGTCATCCTATAGGTTGGTCAAGACGGGCGAAGAATCTGCATCAAAGCCATTGCGATGTTCAGCCTCATTCGATCACGATACCACACTGTGCGATAACCATTCTATCCGATACGAAGATGCTTGAACAGATCAACATAAGCTCGTTCCTCATCTCTTGTTACTCGCACACTCTCACTATTGAATGTAAGATTGCCGTCGTCACCTGCGCATCAACCCAGGATCTTCTTCCAGTCCCAGATTTGCCAAGTTTCGGGATGGCCTCGATAGCCCGGTGGCTTCGGCAAGTCATTGTTGTCCCACTCCTGAATGATCGCATCGCTCGTCCAATTTCAACCCCACTACAGGATCTCCACCTTCACGAGGTTCAAATTGCGGCGATAAGCTCGTAGTCCAACCTCGGGCACTTGTAGAGCATGCAATTTGATCAGTCGCGCCATCGCTGGTTCCCGTTCTTTTCATATCCGCGCCTCTATCCCGCGTCAATTTCTCAATGTGTTCGTGGAATGCGAGCGTCGAGCACTCGGCTCCTTGGATACACCCCGCCGTCTCAACGGTTTCCCATGCGTGTGAATTGAAGGTGCTGCCATTCAAATTCTTTCCCGTTCGGCACTATCTTTTACGTCTCCGGGTGCCCTTCACCGTTCCTGTGGCCGTGAAGCTCCGAAGTCCTCATGTATGCCTGCTGAGTACCCTCTCCCGAGAACCTGTCTAGGTACTCAAGGAAGGTAAGTCTTCCTTCTTTCCGATCTGTCCCTCAAGGTTCGGACCTCACTACCCTCCTGAAGGCCTTTGCGGCGTCTGAAGGTCCCTCTGAATTACTACTACTACCTCCTCTTCACCGTAACTCAACTATGCTATTCTAATCTAATTACTTCTACTCTAAAAGGTTAAAACTGACCTCAATTTTCCAACCTACTATTCTATTTCCGAAAAAAACAAAAAAACTGACCTATCACAATACTCTTCAAATACATAAAAATCTACTTCATTGCTTCCTAGTGCAACTTTCTTGGATTCGACATGTACGTGCTCATCTTGCCCATTGCTTGAGTATTATTAAATCTTGTGCACACTATCAAATACATGAAATTGCCCATAGCTTTTTCATAAAAAATACATGACATCAATCTCTTCTCAATGATATCGATTGAACATTGAGTTGCAAAAAGTTGTGCTACCAAAGGAGTCCCAACTACTTCAGAATATGACATGTTAGACCTGTCAAGTACATATTAACATAATTGCCTTGATTCAATCATAGACTTTTCTACATGAAAATCTTATGAATTTTCATCCCTAATATTTTCTTAAACTTATCCAAATTCTTTTTTTTGGAATGTAGATTTCAATTGGTTTTTGCATTTGTCATCGTCAAATTGATTGTTTCCCTAAGATGAGCATATCATTCACAAAGACAATTATAATAATAAGTTTAAATATTTCATCAATCACCTTCTTCATGTATACACAAGGATCATACACACCGTGAAAAACATTGTGCTTTTATGAACTAATCAAATTGTGCATCCTACTGCTTAGAAGCTTGCTTCAATTCATATAATGATTTTAGCAATCTACAAATGAACTTCTCTTCACTCTTCTTCTTAAAGCCAATTGATTGTGTCAAATAAATCTTTCACAATATAGATCCATAGAAAAATGTTGCAATCACATTCATCTGATTCATAAAAACACTAAATATTGTAACAAATGCATACACTAGACAAATTGTAGTATGTTATGCTACATATGAGAAAATTTAGTTGTAATTCAAAACTTCTTATTTTGTGAAACCTCTAGTCATTAACCTCACTTTAAAATACTCTTCTTGCCACATGTTTGAATTGTCCTTTAGCTTGTAAACCCACTTGTAATCAATCCAAGACATATTTAAAAAAAATACACTTCTTGAATGTAGGATCTAACTTAGTCCTATTCTTCTTAGGTATGAAAAGATAAATTTTACAACCACAAATTCTCAAACGACAATAATCAATCATCTATTTGTGCCTAAATTCAAACAAGATCAAGAATTAATTGCATTAAAAGAAAAAAAGTTTACTAAACATATTGCGATATTGATAGTTTAAACTCAAAATTTATATTATAAACATGATTGACTTAACATACTACGCATCT